ATGCACACACATAAAAAAACCAACTGAAATTTGTGTACAATAATAAGATGGACTATAATTGGTTTAACACGCTTTCTAAAGTTGCAACCGGAAATGAAGTACATTTTAAGTTTCTCTTTCAGTTTCGTCGTTCAACATGGCAGCGAGTGAGGTGAGATAGACAGCTCTTCTAATTAAGCTAAGCTAGCATGTCATGTATTCACACACTTGAGTGTAGTACCATCATGTTTTGAAATTATGTTTTCTCGCCAAAAATGTCTCAGCGTGTCTGTACTGCCATAGACCCAGTAGGCTGTAAGGTAATGTCAGTTGTCACTGTAACTGTAACTGAGAGGAGGACTAAAAATTTATGAAAATTCTTGTCCATGTCCGTCCTTGTCCATGCAAGACTGGCTCTTTCTTTTCATTTTATATATTATGGCAACTTACTAGACCTAAGCACACAAGCGGATAGTTATATCGGCGCTTTTTCAGTAGTTCCCACCCCGCAATTGTTATTCGCAGGTATTGGCCCCAAGAGTCAAGAGTAGGGGGGTTTCGGGGGGCAAGCCCCCTGATCTAGATCTAGATCTAGAATCTAGATATAGATTAGATATAGATTTCTAGATCTAATAAGAATGAGGTGGGGGGTTTCAGGGGGACATGCCCCCCTGAATTTTACCACAATTTTATGTTTTGCAGTTGTTAGGTTTAATATCTTAGCTCACCGCGAATCAAACGTATAGATCTAGATCTAGATTTAGATGTAGGTCAGGCTCAAATAAGGGGGGTGGGAGTGGGAACTACCGAAAAAACACAGAATCTAGTATAGACTATCTAAATCTAGATATTAGATCTAGATTTCGGTGTAGATCTAGATCTAGGCTCAAGTAAAAAAAGTGGGGTGGAAAAACTACCAAAAAAGCACCGTTATATATTTATAGATCTAGATCTAGATCTAGATCTAGGTCTAGAGAGCGACATTAAATAAACACCATTGGCCGATATTTATAGTAACAACCGTCTTGTTTGACGTCATTGAATGAGGGATTTCCACTTTGTCAGTCATGGTGGCAACACGATCACACGACGGCAGCCTGCCGACTCGTATAATTAATTTCTTTGCATCTTCAGAACTGTTCGGTTTGGTTGTCTATGATTGTTAAGCATCCTTCCACCCTTATTGATTCTGATGCTGTAGGCTACATACCATGTACACTAGATCTAAAATCTACTGCTATACGTAAACTGAGAGGAAGAAGAAGACTAAGAGTGAGTAGACCTACGTACGGCGAAAGCCAGTTCAAACAAAGATCGATGACGCAGTGCAAATGATCGACTGTTCCGATCCGAATCGTTTTTAAAGTTTTGTAAGCACAAAATAAATTTAGCACTTAGATTTTACCAGAGATTGGACTCAATAGGTCAATAGGACGCTGAGCTGAAATGGAGTAGATCTTGATCTAATTCGAGACTGCATGGTTTGCAATTGCAAATATGGATACTGTGTGGTGCAAAAGAAGTATACTAGGGCGAACAACTCGGAAAGACTCAAATAGGGAAGTTGTCGTTCACTAGCTACCGCTTGTGGCCTAAGCCTTAATGAGAGGCATGCTGTTTATTTAATTTTAATAGGGGGTGCCCACTAGCGCAATCGGGACGTATCGGGTCTGGTCGATTTGATAGTTAGTTAGGGCTTGCTGAATTGAAGGCGCAATGCAACCATTGTGGCACAAACCGATTGACTCAGTCGGTGACCTGCAAAAATAAAGGCTTTTGTTTTCAGGCCTGCGAGTCGCGCAATCGGGTAGTTTGCAGCCTATCGCAACAAGGCTGAGTCCAGTCACATGTCCATATTGACACTCAAAATCCGGTGGCGCCTTCTTCGAAAAAGTGCTGACTTTGTGAACAGAGTTACCCTACTTGTGTGAAAAACAATAGAAGCGAACCAAACAAACTGCTATTCCTATATTCTTCTTTTGGAGAAACGAAAGAGAGCTTCAAAACAAAGACTGCAACGCCGACTGAACGAATGCGTGGACTTTTGCTGACACTTTTTTGGCTGAGTGAACTATTTTGTTATGAACGATCTTTGATAATAGAAAGTAATTGATGTAACCCATGTTTTTATGGGACTCCAGGCTACCGCAGTCCTGAACAGGGGATTGCAGCAAAGGAGCCCTGGAAACCATTGAGGTTAAAGGTTTCTCCACTTTAACTTCCAGGTCGTTGGGTACAATCTCGGTGGGGTTATAATTTTATAATGGTGTGCACTGAAACCACCAGAAAACGACCTGACCCGACCGCGCTAATGGACACCCCCTATAAGACACTTTACTAGATCTACAACTAAAATTGTAGCCTCTATAGACTATATAGATCTAGAAGATCTATAATATAAAATCTGTGCTTATAATACAAGGCAGTCCTCCATGTTTGCCTCCTAGTACTACTAGTTGTACTATTTAGGGAAGGAGTACCGCAGAGGGCCAGCCCACCAACAATACACAAAAGAGGGTTTATTTTGAGCTGGGTTTACCCTAAACTGTAACCCTAACCTTAATAAAAGCTCTTGTGGACCTTGTCACGGTAAGTGCCGGCCCTCTGCGAAACTCCTCCCCTATTTAGGCCTAGATCTATATATTGAAAACGCCTACTCTCCTTTTTCAGGAGATTCGTTCCCGGACCATCCAGGCTTTGTCTGCAGCGCATGAATTTGCAGAACTGTACCATGAAACTTTTGACAAGAGGAGACAGGTAAACCTCCTTTTTCGTAATTGTAGAGCTTGGTGTTGTCTTATTTGTCAAAAGATTTGTCTCTCTTTTCTTTGATTATAAATTGCAAAACATTTTTCAACTTCAACTTCAAGCCTACTTTTCCATAGAGGGTAACATTATATTATCATATAAAAGGCAAGCTGGTGACTGTGCCTATCATTATGTCCGCGTTTACAGTCTTGGAGAGTGGAGGCCTAATAGAATTGACAATAATTCCAAAACACAGCAAATAGAAACTTTTAATGGGTTTTTTTTTGGTGATATAGATTCTGATGGGCCTCGTTTAAAGACAGTCTGGCTTGGGTTCTAAGCATATATATATATAGGGGTGCAGGGAAATTGGGGAATCAGTTTAAACGTCTTGTGTAGTACATGCGGTTTCCCGTGTGAATTCTGTCCCTGGCCGGCCAGTTTGGGGATAGGGTCTTCCTCACCACTGTTACGGTGGCTAGGCATGTGGGCAGTTTTTCGCGCCTCTGATTTTGGTGGCGAGGGCTCAAAGGGTTAAGGATAGAATTTTAAAACTGAAACTGGATCAGCTGATAATTCATCTGCCGGTTGGACCATTTTCCCTGGTATGTCAGCTGATTCACCATCCATTGATCAAGGTTTCATCCCATGTAAAAATATCATTAAATCTGCAGACAAGTTCTGAACAGTGTAGTGAGTCTTGTAATAATGAAAGAGTGAGGTAGAGACTAAGTATTAAATGTTAGTTAATGAGAGAAGAGTGTTTTCAAGAAAAGTCTAAAAACACTTTTGTTCAACACTGTCATTTTCCAATAAATTTTTTGTGAGAATGTGTGTGGGTCTAGGAGTTAATAAGTGTGGATGTGTGCGCTGCAAAATAGTTTCACCTTGTGCTTTTTTTCTGAGTTTTTTATACACGTCAGTTAAGTTAAATGATAATTCTGCTTTTGTACAGCGCTAAGAGCCATCAAGAGATTAGGGGCGGTATGAATTCCCATTATAATAAATTGTGATCAAGAAGTGAAAAGGGTGTGCTTATAATGCACTTTCTCTTTTTGTCTCTGTCAGGCCATCGGCAAAGTGTACCAGGATACAGCGCAGATGGTGTGGAACGGCAACGCCCACACAGGCAATGCAGAGATCGTAAAGTTTTTCAACACGCTGCCAGCCTCTGAGCATACTGTGGAGGGAATGGACACCCAGCCTGTCATTGCTGGTAGGCAGTCTAGTTACTACTGGTTTTCCTTCATTTAAGACTAATAATATTATAATAACAGTAATTGTAATAATGGATAATGATGGCACTCAAAAAGAAACTATGATTACTACACCCTCACCAAACACTATCTTGCAGCAATGATTGCATCAGATTCTGATTCCGATTATTATTTATTACCAAGACCTGATTTGTGAAGCTTTAAATATGACAACCAAACAAGTACAGTTATGTGCTGGTTAATTGTTAAAATATGCTCTCTCTTACCAAAGAGTAAAGAAAAGCCATACCTGGGGGAGGAGAGGGGGGTTGTCAGATTTTAATAATACACTCAAATGTTACCAAATAATCTTCTGATTTTTGCCCACACCCAGATTTCATAGGTTTTAAACGACTAAACAAGAAACAAAGTTTGGCTTATTTAGATGAGTTTGAAGATGTTTTCTACAGCTCGTGTTCTCAACTGCGTGTGTTTACTGCTGGATCGATAACAACAACAACAACAACAAACGTGTGTTTACTGGTTCATTTATAATATATTTTGAAAAGTGCAACGGATTCAACTTCAACAAAAAGAGTTGGATTCCCTTTTTTTTTTTATTCTCAAAAATAAAGGAAAATTAACTTGGATCCAACGAACACATAATTAATAAATGAGCTAGCTCGGATTCGACTAAGTCGTTTGCAGGGTGAACAGCCCCCTGCTGATGCTGCTGCGCTCATTTTTCTCCTGCAACGAATTTTATCTCTTCCTGGAAACCATCTGTGGCACCTGCGTCATGAACTATTTTTCCCTTAGCCTATTGTTTCAATCTGGCGACCAAAGCCTTCTTTCACATCAACACACTCATTGTTAAAATGCACACGTCTTAGTGTGTGTTTGGGTCGGGTGTGCAGCCAGCACACATATGTGAAGCGAGCTGACAAAATGAGTTATTTCTCGGATTCAAGCCTTAGGGCAATAGATACATCAAGCTTATAGATTAAGTTTTTACAATTTGTAAGTATGAAATAAAACACATGTTATAGTTAAAGAATATGCCATCAATAGAAAATCTACAAATTTGACCCTAATGTCGATTTTTGGCCAATATATCCACGATTGGATTGCAAGAAGTAACTCATTTTGTTAGCACGCCTCACATATGATTGTGGGGAGGGGGCGCAAGTGGTTCAGGCGTGGAATGTCAGTACATGTAGAGATAAAAACACGCCACAGTTATATTTTTTCCCGGGCTACTGATCAATATTATAATGAAAAAGCTAGTGTTGACATAGATCTACGTAATGAATTGCGCGCTGGTATGTGGAATCAAACTTTGCTGTATGCTAGGCTCTATACAGCAACGTAACTTGCTCTGCAAACGATATGTAATAGTAGATGATAGGTGACTCAGAGAGCGTGCATTTCTACGAATTGGCCCTTTCACACACTATCTGTGTATTTTCCTGGAATTTTCCAGCATTTCTTCGATGTGGCATCAAAGAAACAAAAATGCCTCTCTCATTTAGAATTTAACTGTTTTCGACTGAGAAAGTCAAAATACTTAAACGTTACTTGCTCGGTGCCTGTAGTTATCGACACCACAAAAAGCTCGATGTTTCACTCGGCTTCTACGAAATTGAAGGTCAGGCCCGGCGACTTCATTGAATCCTAGTTCCACTACGTTCCAAAATGAACATGCTTGGTTGGTCTGCCGGGGGGAAAATGACCAGAGTTAAAGCAGAACTTCTCATTATTTTGGCCTGGCATGCTTTTGTAAAATGGTGGCTTTTGCATCTGTCAATATTTTGTTTTCCCCCGGTATGTTCCAGGTGTGGTAGGCACAGACAACAACTCCTCCATCGTGATCACCTTCTACGGAAAAGTCAAGTTCAAGGACACAGTGGCCAAAACTTTCAACCAAACCATCATGCTCTCGGTACAGGACAACAAGTGGAAGGTTGTCAGTGACAACTACAGGTTCATCGAATGACAGCTTCAGTGACATTTAATCTGTCAGTGACAACTAAAGATTGATCAAATGACAGGTTCATCAAATGACAGCATCAGTGGCACGTTTTACCTGTCAATGACAACTACAGGTTTATCAAATGACAGCATCAGTGGCATGTTACCTACCAGTGACAGGTGGCAGTGAAAATTCTGGTACCAAATGACAGTGATGATATCATATTGGAGCCAAGTAATTACAGTGCTACTGATAACAGTGATAGTGTTTGGTGACTATGGCATCAATAGCAAGTTACTGTTTTTAGTGACAAACTGCAGTATGGGGGTATTGATGGAGAAATTGGAGAAAGGGGTTTCGTGCCGTGGATGATATTGTCTTCTGTCATGAGTGATTTCTCTTATCTCTTCAGTTCCTGCAATGCAAACAAACATTGAAGATTCCCTTACAGAAGTGCAGTCAGTAGGTAACTGATCTGGTCCACTATGCCGAAGTTCAGAGTATGAATCCAGGTGGCATTCTTCGTATTACTATTATTCTGGCTCAGTGGGAATACTTCCTCGTACCATGATACGGGACCAAGTTTATGCCTTAGTTGTGCATAACAGGGTGTCTTATCTTTGACAGAAACTTCACCTGGCTTTGGAAGCCATTACCAGTTGCTGGGAAATGATTAATGTTTTTTTAATGTGTTATTTTTGGTAATAAAATAGACAAATCGATCCATGTCAAGAGCAAGAGTTTTGATGCACGGACGGGTCGTGTTGATTTTTAGAATTTTCATTTTTACTGTCCTGTTGAATGACTTCTCTGTTTAATCGCATCACGCTTGAAGACTAATTCTATTTAATTGCAGCCTCTCCAAAGTGACATTGTCAGGACCAGGGAAAAAAAAGTCGTTATAGAGAGGCACCCAAAAGTTACTAATGATATATAGAAGTAAGGGAAAAAATCGGGACTTGGGCTCCATGTCGCTATACATAGGATGTAGTAATATCGGAGGTCGTAATAGACAGGCTTCGCTGTATGGAGCCATCCTATAGTGTTGATGGGGTTGGCCTCGTTTCATGTCATCAGGCTTTGTGTGTACTGCACTGCTGGAGGATGTGTTCTTTAGGTTGGTCGGCCACAACACATACCACTAAATTCCTACCTTAATAGGATCTGCAAGGATACCCCACCTGACTGCCCGTTGTGCGACTGCCAGGATGAAACAGTACCACACCACCTCTTTAACTGCCCAGCACTTTGTGACCTGCGTAGCACCTTCCTACCTGCCTCCCCAGACATCGGAAACACTCTATACAGCGACAAAGCTCAGATGATTAAAACCTGTCAATTCTTTGCCATATCGACAGACCGAAAGGCTAGAACCCTAATGGCCGCTGGATCGGAAAAGTAAAGTAAAGTAAAGTAAAAGTAGGTTGGTCGGCTTCTCCACACTGACATACTTGTAATTTCATAAGTTAAATGCATCTGTGCATGTGATGTTTTAGTCTAGTGTGTTGTGTTCTTAGTCTGAAGATAATCGCTTATTCTTGGCGGAATAGCTCGCTGGTAGTTATCTGATTTTGTGGTGCTTTACGTACTGTTTTTATGAGGGTTTTCGTTTCTGGATAGCTGATGCTGGTGGTCTGGGTGTTCTTTCTGCTCAACCATTTTAGCCATCCTGTTCGCTTGTAGATCTACATTTACCAACGCGCGACAGTGCGAAGAGATCCGCTGCAGCTTGATCCTCAGGCATGGGATGCCCCCCCCCCCCCCCATTACCTCTCACATCCTTGTGAGTTTGTTTGAATGAAACGACTCGTCCCAGATGATTTTTATGTTTATTTTTTTTTGTGCACTTGTAATCATGTTTGTGTGTGTTTCAAGTGCCCTGTGAGTGTGTGTGTGTGTGCGTCAGCTTACTTACATTGAGAGAGAGAGAGAAAGAGAGAGAGAAAATACCTATGTGTTTGGTTCGTGAGATGTTTTTGATAATTCCCCACCCTTATGACTTTTCTTGGGGTGAATGATAGATGTATGTGTCACATTATATAACGTATATATCGTCTGTCAGCTGTTCAAATGTACTATGCCCACAATGTGGAGAACATTTTTTTAAATACCAGTTTCTTATGTGGTACATGTATTGGTTTCCTGCCCTCAAGAAGCATTTTTATTGAAATTCCAATTCTAAATTTTAATGTTGAAAAGGGCGAGAAGAGATATGTAATGCTTTCCCCTAACAAATTTTGGTGTCTTGGCTTAGTACATTTCAACCGCTGGCCGCCATTTTATTTTATTTTTTCATGTTGAGAGATTGAAGTTACTGTAACAAATAAATGTTGTTTTATATTCATCATATATAACTGTTTCATGTTTACTGATTTAATTGTTGGTAAATGTTTTCTGTACCAACTGTCATATCCTACCCATGCTGCATCCTCTATTTTTTTATGTCTGTTATTCTTTACTTTTACAGCCTGTTCACATCAGAAGTGTTGGATAGTCAATCAATAACAGCCATCAGGTGCGTTCATCTCAAGACATGTCAGTGGTGTGGGTGGTTGGGCAGGTGCTTTAGTGTGGTTTGTTCCTTCTTTCCTATCAAACATTTATTGTTCTTATCTCCTTCTTTTTTTGTGTTTGTTACTCTCTTGTAACACACCTCCAGACATTGTTACAAGTCATGCTTTGAATAGCTTGTATTTATTGAATGTATTGCAGAAAAGTGTGGTTGAAGGATTTGGAGGAGGGTTAGTTGTTCAATGCCCATCACCTTGGCCCATCTGCACATTATTTATTCTATATTTTGGTGTTGTAAAGTTGACAGTTGTGCGTGTGGTATAGGTGAACTGTTAGGTACCTTGCTGTCACACTCAGGAGACCACATTATAATTATTTTATCATCCAGAAAATTGACTTAGAGAGATGTGCTGTGAGTCATAAGCGTGAAGGTATTTTTAACTCTATCCGTACACCCTGGGGTCATTTGGTACCCCAAGAGTTGTAATCTTCACATTTTAGAATTCGTCTAGTACTAAGATCTCTTTGAAACTCTCAGTATTTCTCAAAAAATCATTTTGACTGACTGCAATGCAAAGCGTACGGATCGGATTAACAAGTAAATTTCGTCTTTGGAAAGTGGTTGTATGAGTTCCCAACGTCGTATGGATGCGATAGTAAAACACGACGTACGGATATGGTTTAAATTTTTAATACTGAAGCTTAAAAGTGACATAAATAGTCACTAGTAGTGTAGTACTAATAGCACAGCTCTGCCCTGAAAATTGGCTCTGGTTGGTCTGAACACTTTCTTTAAATATTGTTTTAGAGGAGAAATTGCTACAAGTACAAGTCTTCTCTACAAGTCACAGAGATGTCAAAACTCAATCGCTCAGAGGGTCGAATTCAAATTGGAGTAGACAAAAGGTTGCGGGCTGAACTCAAATTAGACTGGAGGTTGCGGGTCGAACTGTGTAAACACTCAATGAGTCATCATGAGCAGTGGAAAGACTTAAATCTTTTTAATACAAAAGTATTGAATAAAAGAGATGAAATTTAGAATATAATACATGTAAATGTATGTCTTAATAATAAAGCAAGGCTTTTCATTAATTTCAATAATGTGCCTCTTATGCCAAATGTTACTGCACGATGTTGGACATCTTTTCTTGGCAACAAGTTCGTTTACGTTTGTTTGGAGTAAGCTCTTAATGTGTGATGGAGATTTTTAGGATGGACTACATCAAATTATCCCACATCCCGGATATAATTGTTAGTCGGGCATTATGCGGCCTTCCTCCAGCCTTTAGTTTCACAACTGTCCTCTAAGCTAAGTAAGTGAAAAGTACGACATGGAAATGTTGACATGAGACTGTACTATATAGACAGTATTTGCATGAAATTGTCGCACCACAAAGGGACACATTGGATGTTTGAAAAGCTTGACTGTAGAGTTTTGGGTCGCCCTGTACGAAACAAGACGCGGGGGAGCTTGGGGGGGGGGGGCGGGGTTAGGGGGCGCACCGTTAGTTCAGTTGCCATCATACTGGACGGTAGAGCGGATGACCTTGGCTCTATTCTAATGCGAATTGTATCGATAAGGGCGTAAAACACCTGCTTCAAAAAATGTCCTTAGTATCGCGTACGACCTTGACTGACCCTACTTTATACGTCATGATGTATAGCTTTTCTTCTTTTTATTCTTCTCTCTCTCTCTCTCTCTCTCTCTCTCTCTCTCTCTCTCTCTCTCTCTCTCTCTCTCTCTCTCTCTCTCTCTTTCTCTCTCTCTCTCTCTATGGCGACCACTTGTATAAAAATCAACTATAAAAAACGACCAGCATTTAGAAGGACGCAGACAGCCACGTTATACAGGTTTCGGCGTACGTTGTCTATTTACTCGAGTGTTCTCGATAGGGTTTCACGACACCTCACCCAGCGCTCTACACGCCACAGTTCAAACAATAATACACTTTTGTAGGATAGCTCTGCATTTCGAAAAATAACGAGCTCAAAGAGCCAGCTAATCAAGGAAGCCTCACTTTGAGCGATGGAGTGGTCTCGAATGTTTCAGCTCAACTAACTCCCACTCCAGAATTGTGTTTGGTAGTTTGCAAAGATTCAGTCATTCAAGAATGAACAGCATTCTTTTTCCACGAGTTGACGTCACGTCTGGAAATGCAGAGGAAGCAAAAACAAAACGAACACCCCCACCCCCTCCCAAACAGACAGAAGTAGCAGATCCCCGAAACTTATACATGTTACCGAGTGCACTTTGCCAATGGTCAAATTCGTTTGATTGAGTTATGGCGAGCTAGAATTTGAGGAGCAATCACAATTCGAGCTACCATTTTGGCACAATCGACTTAGTTGAACTAAATTCAGCTGCGACCTTCAAATTAAGTGTGTTTGTTTTTCGAATTCGAGTCGAATCCATCGTATTGTGCCAAAATGATAATTTTGCCCCACCCAAACGAGAACTCCTGCTGTCCTCGTCTCAAATCAACTCAATCTAGTTGACAGTGTACTCTGGGTATCAACAAAGTGGTCCTGATTTAATTTTTTTATACATGTAAAAAGCCAAACTAAACAACAATAACAACAAATAGCGAGCAGTAAGCGCTGTCGTGTTCTACCTCCAATTTCCAACTTTTGCGAGTTTCTGTGACAGTTGTCAAGGCAATATAAATGCATTCCTTTTGGGTTTTTCATACATGTATTACGGCGAAGCCCTGTGTAACGGGGAAATTTGGGGTTTCCATTTTGTATGTACAAACCTCCGGGTTTTTGGGTTTTTTTTGGGAGGGGGAGGGGGGAGTTCAACGGGAATCTGTTTCTTTCCTATCAAGGGAATTATGTCACTACCAGAAACAATTCGTTTGTACTAGATCTAGATAGCAATAAGCTGGGAACGTGTTTACGAAGCAGTTGTATTCACTTTTGAAACCTACAAAGTTCTTCAGACAAGTAAGTCAGAGTTGTTAGATCGCAGTGTTAACATCAGCACTCACGTTTCATACCTTGTCGTGTATACGTCGTGCACTTTTCCCCATAAGGTTCTCGTAACCTTGAAAAGACACTGTGTCCTTCTCGAGGAAAAACAAAAACAAAACAAACAAAAAATGCTCCTGGTCATCAAGATTCGGATACTTTGAATCGATTAAAGCAAACACCCCTCCTTCCTCCTCCTCCTCCTTCTCTTCCTCCTCCTCCTCCTCCTCCTCCTTCTTCTTCTTCTTCTTC